GCCAGAGCCAGAGCCAGAGCCAGAGCCAGAGCCAGAGTCAGAGTCAGAGTCAGAGCCAGAGCCAGAGCCGTCGCGCTGGGCAACCGGCTGCGCATCGATTGTGCACGGGCCGCGCGGCCGCGCACTGTCGGGCTGTCCCGCGGCGACGGCGGCGGCGGCGGCGGGCCTGGCAGCGCTGCGGGCCCGGCCGGCGGCAGTAAACAGAGCCGCCGCGCGCTGGCGGCCGCCCGTGTTTCGCGGCCTGCCAGGTGGCTCCTGCCGGCCGGCCGGCCCGGCCAACCGGCAGGCCCGGACACGGCCGCGGCGCGCTGCCAGCCACGGTCGATCGATGCGGCGGCCGCGTGAGCGCCGCCGCCGCCGCCGCGTGCGCCGCTCCATGGCGGCGTGGCCTTGAAGTGGGGCCGGCGCCGGGAGACGGCCCGGCGCTTGCCGCCGCCTCCGGCGCCGGCGCCGCGCCGCGCCATTCACGGCGCAGAGGCACGGCCGCCAGCGCCTCTCCTCTGCGACGGCCAGGCCGCGCTCGAAGCAGCGGGGTAACGGGACGCCGCGCTGGCGGCGCCGAGCCGGACGCTGCGGCGTAGTGGTGCCGTGGCAGGATCGCGTGATCGGCGCGGCGATGCCGCCTTTTGTCCGTCGGTTTTGGACATGCGACCATTTGTCAGACACGGCATGAAAACTTTAATCGAGTTTAACGTGTATTGGCGCTCGACCCTAACGGAAGCTGTTCATCGTTGAAACACACTTGGAACGACTTGGTACGCGGTTTCTAGTCGACCCAGTAGTCATGCATGATAAATGCGTCGCTGGAAGGTTACGTGCAATGCTTCTGCGTACGCCGAAGCACAGCAGCTCTGAAATTATAGTCACGAACCACAAGTGTTGCGCCCACCGAAACTGCCGGGGTGGTTGCGATAGGCTCCCTTCCCATCACTGCCATTCTGGCTGCATCGCCGTATCAGGGGCAGCTGCTGGAATGGTGCCGTTCGATGATTCGCTGATTGGAGCTGATGCGCCTTTCCCGTCGTGCTGAGCCGTTATCAGCAGACGCGCACGGCTGGGCCCGACACTCGGGCCGAACAGCGCGGCGGAGCGGCGCCGCGCCGCCAGCTCCACGCTGTTGTCTGCGCTGCTCTGGGGAGGTCCGTGTCGACCGCGTGCTGCCGGCGAGATCAAGCCCGACTGGACCCCGCCTCGTGAGACGGAGGCGTACCGCGGCGCGCTCAGTCCGCCCGGCCGGGCCTGCTATCCACTGCAGCACGCAACTGGCGCTGACTCGCGCTGCACGCGGCCGGGCGCCGGCAGGCGTGCGCGGCGCTCGGCCGCGAGGCTCCGTGCAGCGGCGTGCGATGTTTATGTGCTTTATCTTCAGCTTGCGCGATGGGAACATCTCGCCCTCGAGCGGGTGTGATAGTGCAGGCATGCAGTGCGGCATGCAGGTGACTGGAAGATTTCAGGATGCCCTAGTCTTTGGTATGCCGTCGTGTGATGCGCGGGCATCCTCATTGCTAATGAACCTGCATAGCTGAGTGCCCTGGGCTAGAATCGCTGGCTGCCTTTGGTCACAGAGCCATGGTGGTCCAGCGAAGTGGAAGTTGCTGACGTCAGTGCTGCTGATAACAGGCCAGAGAGACACCCGGGAGATGGATGAAGACTGGCGGCCGTCTGAGTTATGCATTTGAAGTTTGTATTTAGGGAGTTCGTTTGTGCCGTGTTTACGGGCACTTCGACTACGAGACCGTTTTGCTCGTTCTGAGAATTATCGACCTACGATACAACAGGGGCGTAAAGCTTGGCTTCGTTTGTAAAAGCGCTCAAGTTTTGTTTATAGTTTAAGTTTTCTCAGCCTAGCTAATGCTCGCCAGGTGGTCAAGGCCTTTCTTGATATTAAGCAACGGCCAAAATTTCTAGATTTGACCGCAGACGCCCCTGCTCAAACCCCGCCTAACTCAAACTCAAACCTCCAGTACCCTACACACACACACACACGGGATCGACCCGACATGGGTCCGCGGCCATACGGGCGGCCGGAGACAGCTGGTGAGAGGCGGGACGGCGACTCTGCCGGTCCGTTCTGGGGTGCCCCAGGGGTCTATCGTCGGGCCGATGCTCTTCAGCTTGTTTATGAACGACCTTCACTGTCATTTACCGGGCTGTCGGGTGATGACTGCGCTGACGACGCCCAGCTGCCCGATCACTCGCCGGCCGATCCGAAAATCTGAAGGATCACTAAATGTTATGTTGAAAACTCTGTAGACACGTTACAACGCTGGTTCAAGATCAAATTCACGAAATACGAACCCAGCAAAAGCAGATTTCACGTAGTCGGAACGCGTCTAAACGTCAACGGAGTTAAAGACTTCCACCTGAGTATAGCTGGCCCGTTGAGCAAACCGTCGTCGGCTATTCGACTGCTGAGTGTGGCCATCTACCCTTGCATGTCCTGGGACATTTACACCGCCCACATTGCCAGAAGGTGCAACGCGCTTTTGATGTTGCTTTACCTGCTTCGCCACCGTGTTAACCAGGAGAAGTTGTTGATGAAAAGACACGTAATTCCCCACATTGCACGTCGCATCCCCGTGTGGGGAGGAGCAACCAAAAATCAGCTAGATTGGATTAGGAAGATGATAAGCTGCAGTGGCGCGTCGCAGTGGCGCGGTGGCGCAGTGGCGCGTGCAGTGGTCGTTATTGGCGCATGGCGTCGAAGAGGGTCGGCCCGGCGTTGGCGTTCCTGGGTTGGACCCAGGCGGAGCAGCTGGTGCGAGAGAGGGACTTCTTTAGAGTGTATAAAGTCCTTCATAACCAGCTCAGCCCGCCGACGATTTATCGCATGTTTGTCCCTCGATCCGCGGTGTCTCGCCGGCCCCCCCCCCCCCCCGCTCATCCGACGCCGGAACTCTGGAGCTGCCGAGGTGTAAACTCGCGGCCATACAGAGAGGGTTTCGGTACCGTGCTGCCGCCCCGTGGAACCTGCCGCCTCTGGCCGTGCCGTCACCGAGCGTCCGGCTCTGTCCGCCTTTTGTGCACCGCTTAAAACATTGAGGATCTGAGAGCCGCGCGCTCTTTGCTTGTCTGCATCGGCTTTTGGGAAACTCCACTGAGTAACCATTTTTACTTGCTATGTATGTAGGTACTTGTGGATTGTTCCCACGTCCTTTGTCACTATCTTGTCATGATGTGTGTGTGTGTGCATTGCTTTATAACCTTTTTGTACCTTGTGCATTGTGGCGCAAATCTTGAAGCGCCATACTGCATGGATGGGTTAAAGGCTCGATACAATTCAGTGCAACGCAATACACAGTGAAACGGGAATGAGCGACCGGAAGGCACTTGCCGGTTTCAGTCTGTAAGAGATGCCGGGCACTTCTTTGTGGTGACGTTCGTGAAGAAAGCAGTCTTGTATGGAGACTCCTGCATGGAAGAACGCAAAATCAGCGTCACATCTATGTTTCTGACGATCTGCTTGAGTGCACCATGTGCGTCGGGCGCGCGGTGCGCCCCTGGCAGCTGGCCGTTGGCACCGCTCCGCTCCAGCCGCTGCCGCCACGCCCCGTCCGAGAGCAAGTGCGCGCTCCGAGCTTCCGCCGCTGGCTGGCCATGCGGTTGGCCCATACCTCAAGCGCCCAGCCCAGCTCCGGCGCTGAGTCCAGGAGCGTGCTGATCCGCGCCAGAATCGACTCCCGTCGGCCGTAATCGGGCGTTTATTAGACGGCGTAACGCCGCCGTGTCACGCCACGGACCAACGCTACCAACGAGACATTTACGGGCGCTAGTGCGACCGTCGCTATGGAATTTTAATTCATCCGACCATAACGGGGGCATAACTCAAGGCGGCGCGAAACATGACTGACGCGCGCCGCGGCACCGGCTCGGCGGCGGTCCCGTCCTGCGGTCCCGTCCCGGGCGGCGCTGGTACTACGGTCCGGTTTCGGGCGGCGCTGGTACTACGGTCTGGCCCTGGACGACGCTGGTGCTACGGTCCGGTCCTGGACGGCGCTGGTGCTACGGTCCGGTCCTGGACGGCGCTGGTGCTACGGTCCGGTCCTGGACGGCGCTGGTACTACGGTCTGGCCCTGGACGGCGCTGGTGCTACGGTCTGGCCCCGGACGGCGCTGGTGCTACGGTCCGGTCCTGGACGGCGCTGGTGCTACGGTCCGGTCCGGGACGGTGGGCACCTGACCGGGTCATCGCGTACGGTGCCCCGGGCAGGCGGTCAGGGGCACGCGTCCGGCGGCGTCCGGGTCGGTCGCGCCCTTGCCACCCCTCAGCGGCCCGCTCCCTGGCCAGGTTTGGGGTGCGAGGGGTGGCGCGCGCGGACGGTGTGCGGCCCGCGGAGCGCGGCCCGACAATGATGCCTCGGGGCACGGCCTGTGCCGCTGATTGAGCTCCCTGGAATGCTGTCCGACGGGAGGGAAGCGAGCCTGATTCTGCTGATGTCTTGAAGGCCCTTTAATGGCCATTAGCCCGTACGGCCCAAAGCCTTGAAGGCCCTGTGATGTCCGTGACTCCTGCCAGCCCCGGTGGTCGGTTCCGCTGTGGCGCCGGTTTGCTGGCTCCTCGGGATGCTCGGCCGCGTGTGCTCTTCCAGCCGGTCGCAGGGCTCGTTCGAGAGGGGGGGGGGGGGGTCAAGGGCACTGGACCAAGCGGCTGACACCGAGCTACCGCCTCTTCCCCAGATCGAATGCAAGTCCTTCATGACGTTGTGGCGTTTGGCAAACCATTTGAAAAAAAACGATGCTTGGCTCTGAACAATGCTGTGCAGACTGTAACGCATCTGCGTGTTGACCCGCGCCGTGGAGGCCGTCTCGGTCATGTGCGCCGGGAGGGGCTGCTGGACGGTCGGAGCCGGCCGCTGCCCCCGCTGACGCCGCCGCTGACGCCCCCGCTGACGCCTCATTGACGCCCCGCTGACGCCTCGCTGCTGCCCCGCTGACGCCTCGCTGCTGCCCCGCTGACGCCCCCGCTGACGTCCCACTGACGCCCCCGCGCTCTGTTCGCAGCGGCGGAGGCGCCGGAAGAGTGCGACGCTCACCACGTGCTGCGGCCCAACGCCGAGCTGACGGCCTATCAGCGGCGACCGGTGCCGCTGGACGGCTGCTACCACCGCCACCTGGCCGGCATCGGACAGCGGTGAGTGCAGGGCGTCGCTGGGCGTCGGAAGCCGGAGACGTCACCAAGAGGTCAGGGGTCGGTTCCGGGCGAGGGGAGGCTGGTGGCGCGTCTGACTGTAGATCGAGCGGGAGGCGCGGGCGTCGGTGCTGCTGTGAGCGTACTAGCGCGGACCGGAGGTCGAACTATGGCCTCGCGCGGTCCACCTCGACCCGATCGCAATCGGTCAACAGTCATTTGCCACCGGCGTCCAGCACCCACGCCGGCCACCGCCGTCCCCCGGTCGTCGGCAGCGCACCCGCGCCTGCTGGACAGCTCCCCGGCCCCCGCCAGTGTGACCTGGGGTGGCCAGGGCGCGCGGCCCGTCACGCCCCGGCGGCGTGAGGCGTGAGCCGCTGCTTCCTGCGGCCTTTCCTGGCGCTGGGGTCGGCGGCCGGCCGCGGGGGGCCACCCGGCCGCTCGCCCCGCCGTCGCCTCACGGGCGGCCGGGCGGCGGCAACTGCCTGCCGTCCGCGCTCGCATGTATAAACTAATCGTGGCGCGTTTTTGACGGGATATCTTAATGTGAAACCAGTCCAAGCATTTTCGGGAGGTTAATGACTCGTATGGTGAACTCGTGGTGGGTGTTGGTTTGCATGCGGGAGTCATGGGCCGGGTTACATCAGCAGTACTTCATTCTTCTATGCTTTTTTCGTGATGGCTTAAGTATATCTATCGGGTAAAGCTTCGCTTAGCGCCCGGCGTTTTGTCATATTGTCAGGGTCCTCCGGAAATGTAATTGCTCGTCGCTGCCGTCTTCGTTTGTCGCAAGAGTAAAAACAATTTCAGAATCTAATTTTAATCAGAGTTTTTACACTGGTGCGACGAGCTAAAATCAACTAGGAATAGGCCATTTCGAAAGTTGTGAACGTTGATAAACCAAAATGTGGCCTGGTACGAAGCACGCTGGTAATATTTCCATCTGAATGAGATTTTCTCACACATTAGAGCGTATGCTGTGGCTCTTACACCGCAGAGCGTAACAATACGGACGCTGGAGCCCCGCTTTGTCCTAAGTTGAAATTCGTGGGCTTAACGCAAACTGGATGACTGTGCGAAAAAAATGTGTACCCTACTGTATATTTCTGCGGAATGCGCCCTCCATTTTCCACCCTGCACTGGTTTTGTTCGAGAATGCATATGCTCCGTTCAGGTCCAAATTACGACATAAACAGTGGTGACTGGTCAAAAACCCGGCTAGTCGCCTTATTCATGGCGCGTCCGTGGTTTCGCGCTACGGTACATGATTTCTACACTCGGTGCCCAGATGTGTGACGCGATATATAGCCTAGATAGAGCATGAATGGGTGTAAGGAATGCAAGACTGAGGCGATGGAAGACTGTCAAAGAGCATGACTGGCAGGTGTTGTGTGTGCTTACCCGAGCAGTGCAGTCGCGACAAATTCAGCTAACATTCTGGGACCACAGAAGTAAATGCCAGATTCAGAGTCAGACCCATGGGCGCCCTGTCGAGCATGCCATGCTGGGCGCCCTGTCGAGCATGCCATGCTGGGGCGCCCTGTCGAGCATGCCATGCTGGGGCGCCCTGTCGAGCATGCCATGCTGGAGCGCCCTGTCGAATATGCCATGCTGGATCGCCCTGTCGAACATGCCATGCTGGATCGCCCTGTCGAGCATGCCATGCTGTGGCGCCCTGTCGAGCATGCCATGCTGGGGCGCCCTGTCGAGCATGCCATGCTGGGGCGCCCTGTCGAGCATGCCATGCTGGAGCGTCCTGTCGAGCATGCCATGCTGGGGTGCCCTGTCGAGCATGCCATGCTGGAGCGTCCTGTCGAGCATGCCATGCTGGGGTGCCCTGTCGAGCATGCCATGCTGGGGCGCCCTGTTGAGCATGCCATGCTGGGGCGCCCAACTGAGCGTGCCCAACCCGGCGGCTGGCATGCGCTCGTGGAAGCAAGACAAACGTGGTCGTTAGAAGAGCGGGGCAGGCATACCTCGGCCAGGGGCGGTGCCACGGATTGTCAGTTGGTGGGAAGGCAGAGTTTTCAGACTTTCCAGAGGGCGGCCTAGACAGAATGGAGCCTCCTCACAAGGAATCACGCTTGGTAGTGTCTTTTCAAGGGGTAGATCACGTTTTTCTGTGATGATGTTGTCTGATGTGTGTCATAAATATCAAAATTGGAAATCTTGAACAGAGGCGGCCTGATTCAGAAAGGATATTCCCGGTCCAGGAAAGGACCTCCCATCCCAAGACAGGGCCTCTTGTGCCCTCAGAGAGCCTTCTGATACATAGAGAAGCCGCCTTATCCAGATAAGGACCCTTCCGATTGATGAAGGGGCCACCAAATCCGGAAAAGGCCTCATTATCTCCAAACAGGGCATCCTGCTTGGGATTAACGGCTTCAGACACATGAGAGGGGGCTTCCTGTTCTAGTATGGTGGCCACCCAGTCTAAATTAAGTCTTCTTGTCCGGGAAAAGGGGACTTCACAAAGTTTGAAAGGGGACACAAGCATGCCCCTACCATTTCCAGAAGGAGTAACATCCCCCTCTGTCCCTCCCCCCCTCCCCCCCCCCCCCCCCGCTGCGCCAGCTACGTCCCCGGCGGCACCAAGTTGAAGCGTTGCGTCATGCTCTATGTTGCCGGGGGTCTGCCAGCCGTTTCCCAGAACAGACAGGTGATTTTTCGGCCCCGAGCTCCGGAGCTTGTTACATGACGGTCGGTGGAAGTAATATATATACATGTACTATACAATGCAATTTTGGGCGCGGAGATGAGCAAATGCAACACCATTATACAGTTAAGGCGTAAAAGGTACCACACTGCTCACGGCCGGTCTTCAGAAGCGTTCGGAGTGGCGTGATGTTCTGCACCAGTGCATGCGATACTTCATGCACAGCGAGCGGCGAGGCGGATTTTGTTTTGAACTAAGCCACTGGCACACCTTGAGCACGGCGCCTGTGGTAAGATTACGTGCAGCTGCGCATGCATTCTGCGGCACGCTTCACGTGGGCAATTCACCGCGATGGCTGATGAAGCCACGGCAAGCGCTGAAACGTGAAAATTGGCCCGATCTGGGCGAGCTCGCGCCCTTGATTCACGCTTCCGGCGCGCGCGCTATCTATGAATGTCAAGGGCAAGGGCAACGCTCCCTCCCTGAGCGTTTTTTTCTACCGACCATAAAAACGCCGTGTTTACTGTTTTTCCGCCGTTTTTTGCGGCGCCGCGCCCTGGTCGGCGTGCTACGGAGTATATGGCGGCGGGTAACAGGTGACCCGAGTGGTACTCAGTGGCGCCGTTCCCGGCGCGTCTCAGTGCACCACTGACGGCCCTCTTCGAGCCAACGGCCGGGGGCAGAGCGCGCGCGGTGAGACAAACTCTCGGCTGTGCTTAGTGCCAAGAGCGCGCGGCTGCGGTGGGAGCGCCGCTGTTCGGGGAAGACCTTCCGCCGCCGGGCTTATCCTCGCGGGCCCAGGTGTGCCAGCCGCTACCCGCACGCCAGCAGCTCAGAGTATCGAACGCTTATCGCGACCTAAACCCGGCGCTCAGCTCAGCGGAGTGTGACCCGCTCGGCATCCGTCCCCAGCGGAGTGTGACCCGCTCGGCACCCGTCCCCAGCGGAGTGTGACCCGCCCCGTGCTGGTCTCCAGAGGAGTGTGGCCCGCCCTGTGCTGGTCTCCAGAGGAGTGTGACCCGCCCTGTGCTGGTCCCCAGAGGAGTGTGGCCCGCCCTGTGCTGGTCTCCAGAGGAGTGTGGCCCGCTCTGTGCTGGTCTCCAGAGGAGTGTGGCCCGCCCCGTGCTGGTCTCCAGAGGAGTGTGACCCGCCCTGTGCTGGTCTCCAGAGGAGTGTGGCCCGCTCTGTGCTGGTCTCCAGAGGAGTGTGGCCCGCCCTGTGCTGGTCTCCAGATGAGTGTGGCCCGCCCTGTGCTGGTGTCCAGAGGAGTGTGGCCCACCCTGTGCTGGTCTCCAGAGGAGTGTGGCCCGCCGCGTGTCCGTTCCGAGCGGAGTATGACCCGCGCCGTGCTCGTCCCCAGCGGGGTGTGACCCGTTTTAAACGCGACGCTCGGCGCAGCGAGTATGCCCACCTCGGCCAGGCGCTCGTGGAGTGCACCCCACCCTCCGCCTCGTGCCGGCCGTGCAGCCTGGCCGAGCCGTCACGCACGCATCGCATTCCAGCGCCGGCCGAGCCGATTAACCGGCCGCCTAATGATGCGCCGGCGGCGCCGGCGCTGTCCGCGGCGGCCGCACGCCGGCTGCCAGGGGTGTGGCAGCGCCCCGGTGACGCCGCGCGCGCCGTGGGTCCGTGTGGGGTGTGGCAGGGCCCCGGTGATGCCGCGCGCGCCGTGGGTCCGTGTGGGGTGTGGCAGCGCCCCGGTGGCGCCGCGCACACCATTGGTCGGTGCGACAGTGCCCCGGTAACGCCCCGCGCGCCGTGTGTCGGTGTGGGGTGTGACAGGGCTCTGATGACGCCCCGCGCCGTGTGGCCGTGTGGGGTGTGGCAGGGCCCGATAACGCCCCGCTCGCCGTGGGTCGGTGTGGGGTGTGGCAGGGCTCTGATGACGCCCCGCGCGCCGTGTGGCCGTGTGGGGTGTGGCAGGGCCCGATAACGCCCCGCTCGCCGTGGGTCGGTGTGGGGTGTGGCAGGGCTCCGATGACGCCGCGCGCCATGTGTCGGGGTACGCGTGGCGCCGACTCTTCCCGACAGGTGATGGAGAAGTTGCATGACAGGTGCGTCAGCCGACATGGCAACTTCGAGCGAGTCAGCCCAATTCTGACATTTAGCCGTTCAGGGATGGTCGTTCCAGCAGCTTCGCCGCATTAACTTTCGTAAACGTTTTCGGCGCGTAGTTGGTGACTCGTGAACTAGGGGACCAAGAGAGGCTGAACCCCTAACTTTCTGAAAACTTAGCCCTAACCCTTTAGGCGTTGTCCGTAAATAGATTATCAAAGAATCCGCCTTAGACTTGGCAGAGCTAGCTTGCTCCCGTCCATGGACGCGGCAGAAATGGAGGCTGACGCTGCGGAGGAGATCGGCTGGTCGGTGAGACTCGATGTTGTTTCAGATGGTTTGTTCTTGTCCCAAAGCGTCAATCACCCAACTAATCGAGCAGTATAGAGGAGATACACATGCAAAGGAAGTGCGCTCGGCTGCTGTGTGTAGGGAGATCTTGTCAGTATCGTGCCTGGTGAACAAGTGCTGAATGCCTGGCGTCCCCGCCACGGACTGCGCAGTGCGGGTCGACGGTGTGCTGCTACTTGCAGCTCTTCTCCACTGTGGGGATGGAATGGGCCCGTTGCATTGACCCACCAGGCCGGAAAGGAGCTCAGGGTGACTGCGAACGGCCCATGGAAAGCTGGCCGAGAAACACGCTGGAGTGCCTCCCCCCCCACCCCACCCCACCCCACCCCACCCGCTGCCCCCTCCCCTCCCCTCCGTCGCTCCACCGAGGCTGACGGGTTCCAGTCTCCGTGGGCGGGCCGCCCACGCACTGGACAGCGGCCGGCACCAGGGCGGCCGGCCGTGTTGAGCCGTGCCGGAGGCTCCGTTTGTCGAGCGTCGCCGCCGCATAAGGCGTCTTGCGTGTGGGCCTCGCGTGCTGGGACAGATAACGCAGAATGGTTCCGGGAGGTCTGAGTCATGACGCCGCGGCGCCGGCGCCGGCAAGGGGAGCGTCGCGGCGTGCCGCGGCGCCCACGCGGTCGTCTGTCTCAACGCAGCGCTGCTCTGGTCGGGTGCGGCCCGGCTCAGACTCCAGCCGTCCCGGGCTTGTACGACGCCCCCGCTTCCTCTTATCCAGACCAGGCTACGTCGTCGGGCACATTTTTTGTCGTGAAGAGCCGCTCGTGCGTCCGGGGAATTCCAGACAGCGGCCGCCGTGCGGGCCCGGCCGTCCGTGGCAGGGGCCAGCTGCGCCGCATTCTCTGCGGTCTGGTCTTTGCCGGAGGATGACGCCCGCCCGAGAGACAGGGCCGCGCTCCGGCGCGCTACTCGGCAGTCACTTGCCTGCCGGTGTTCGGTGACCTTTCGGCGCTCATTTGGGAGAGGAGCGGCGCGGCTACCGTGCAGTGCCGCCTGTCTGCTGGAGCCGGCGGAGCGCACGCCACCGGCTGCTGCTCACGTGCGGCGTTGACAGGCCGGCCGGGGTCGGGTGAGCACCGGTCGCCAGCCGGCCTCGGCGCCGGTCACGGCTCTCGCAGGGGTCACCGGGTACGGCGTTGACAGGCCGGCCGGGGTCGGGTGAGCACCGGTCACCAGCCGGCCTCGGCGCCGGTTACGACTACCGCAGAGGTCCCGGGTACGGGGCTGACAGGCCGGCCGGGGTGGGGAGAGCGTCGGTCACCAGCCGGCCTCGGCGCCGGTCACGGCTCCTGCAGGGGTCACCGGGTACGGCGCTGACAGGCGGCCACTAACTCGAGTCTCTGCGTGGTGGGATGGCGTCGACAGTCGATGGGCGTAGATTAGCCGCGCCCACCGGCAGGTGGTGGCACTCGCCAAGGCAGGTCCGGCTTCCCGGGGCAGGTCCGGCTTCCTTGACAGGTCCGTCTGCCCGGGCAGGTGGCGGCACTCGCCAAGGTAGGTCCGGCTTCCTGGGGCAGGTCCGGCTTCCTGGACAGGTCCGTCTGCCCCGGGCAGATCCTGCTTCGCCGGGCAAGCCCATCTTCCCCGGGCAGGCCCGGCTTCCCTGGACAGGTCCGGCTTCCCCGGGCAGGCCCGGCTTCCCTGGACAGGTCCGGCTGCCCGGGAAGGTCCGGCTTCCCTGGACAGGTCCGGCTGCCTCGGGTAGGTCCGGCTGCCTGGGGTAGGTCCGGCTGCTCCGGGCAGGTCCGGCTGTTCCGGGCAGGTCCGGCCCCCTGGGCTGCTCCGGCTGCCTGGGGTAGGTCCGGCTGCTCCGGGCAGGTCCGGCTCCCTGGGCTGCTCCGGCTGCCTCGGGTAGGTCCGGCTGCTCCGGGCAGGTCCGGCTCCCTGGGCTGCTCCGGCTGCCTCGGGTAGGTCCGGCTGTTCCGGGCAGGTCCGGCCCCCTGGGCAGGAGCATCGCGTACTTGCTTCGGCTCACTGCCGGCGCTGTCATCTGTCTCCGTCTCCGTGACGTTTACGGCGCCGCCATCATCACACAGTGTAGCTTGACTGTCCTGGCCCATTACCGGTGTGATCGTTTCGCTGAGCTCCGAAACCATATAGCCTATTTCTGGCAGTGTTGTAAATGGGTAGCGGAATGTTTAGTATGGCCAGGAGCTGCTTTTGGACAATGCCCTTAATACTTACAATGGTTATATCTGGCGGTTATTTGGCAAGTCTAATGCCATGGACCAGGGGTAGGACTTCATACCAATGTCCAACACGATTGACATGTCGTACTGTGCTGGTCAGGTGACGCGTTTCATCTTGGTCCCTCTGTCTGCGCGGTCCCCAGTTCCGCTATGTCAGTACTGCACTTACGAATATCGGATGAGCTCATGGACATCCAAGCTTCACAACCGAATGCGATATTGTTTGTGATAAGAAAGCGGAGGACATGGCAGCGACGTTTTAGCTTGTAACTTGTGAAGGTCGCGGTTTTGATAAGCTCGATGGTTCGGAGCCAGATCGATCAACGCTTGCTCCTTGAGCTTCGGCGGCTCACTTGATCATGCCATTTTCAAGCCGTTGAATGGTGGTGGGCCGGCGAGCCTTGTTATACATTGCCAAGTTGATTCGGGATGCAAATGACTCCTTTGCTGCTCGGCATGCAGTTTGAGATGGTTGGTGAGTAGGATGATCAAGCTGTTTACCGTGGGCACTAGGATGTGTGCAATATACGCCACACCTCTTTGTGCTTCCCATCTAGGTCGCTTCGTCCCCTTTCCTCTTTGATTTGCTGTTGTCCTTGGTCTTTCCTCGTAGTATTCCCGGACATTTCTCCTTGCTTGTTCACAAGTGTGCAGAAGTCTCATGCACCAATGCGGTGAATGGCCGCCGGAGAACGATGACCTCCGGATTAGGCTGGCCTGTAAAGTCGCGTCTGCTCCTGCTCCCGGTCGTCGTTCCCCAGCCCATCATCGCCGCCACCTGACGCGCCGCTCACGCGCCGGCGAGCGTCGCATCGCGCGGCGCGCCTCTGCAGCTCGCCGCCACCTGACGCGCTGCTCACGCGCCAGCCTCGCCCCGGGGCGGCCGGCTGAGACCGGCGAGCGTCGCATCGCGCGGCGCGCCTCTGCAGCTCGCCGCCACCTGACGCGGTGCTCACGCGCCAGCCTCGCTCCGGGGCGGCCGGCTGAGACCGACGAGCGTCGCAGCGCGCGGCGCGCTTCTGTAGCTCGCCGCCACCTGACGCGCCGCTCACGCGCCAGCCTCGCTCTGGGGCGGCCGGCGGGGACCGGTGCGCCTCTGCAGGCTGGACCGTCCCGCTGCCGATCCGGCGGCGTCCGACGGCGCCCCTGTCGCGGCGACGGAAGCCAGGCGCGGGCGCACTCATCGCGTCCGGCTGACCCCCCCCCCCCCCCCGGACGGCCGTGACCCTCGGCGGCGCCACCCGACCCTCAACAGGGGCACGGCCACTGCTGGGCTCCTCGGGGTCTACACCGCCTGAAGCGTCTGACAGAACGGCTTTTTGCGTTTTGCTCACCTTAAAGACATCGAAGTGCGTTGGAGCCCGGCAACCTTTAGCACACGGCTACGAAGCTGACGCGTCCGCACCGGCGCAGGAGCCGGGCCCGGAATCCGCCGTCCGTCGGCAGCGTTACCGGGCCCGGAATCAGCCGTCGGCCGGCACAGGCGCTGGGCCCGGAATCAGCCGTCGGCCGGCAGCGTTGCCGGGCGATGGTGGGGTGACTCAGCTCGGGCCAGCCACTGCGACGGGAGGCGACGCGACGGCCGCTGGACACTGCCGACAAATGGACGCGCCGGACGTAAAAGGGCAAATGGAATTGTCATTAGGGTAATTGCCCGGACCACTCAGTGCTGAAGTTCAGGCGGTGGCAGCGTACGCTTTTGAACGCGCCTGGCGGGTGGTGACGCTGGGAATCTGTCAAAAGGCGTAAAATCTATTAAGCGTGAATTGTTGTTGACTGTAGGGCACTTACGGCTGTAGGAGTGTCATTTGATGGCTGAGATATATCATTAACATAACGGAAGCAATGGGAAATGCGTTGATGTGGCCGTTACTGCCGCGCGGGCAGGCACGGCCATCCCCGAGCGTCATCCTCATCGGCCATGTTATCAGAAGCGCAGTGGAACTTTCCAGCCTCCTCGGGCAAAACTTGCTGTGCTGTGAGATTCGCAGGATATCCTGAGCAGCGGTCTGTGTGACATGGCACGTGCTTTCGGCTCCTGGCTAGACAAACCGTCTGTTTAGTCGCTCTGAAAGGATGTATTCTATCTCCGTGCCCACTTCAATGGAAGGGGAAGGCTCTATTGCCGGTGTCCTCGCGCTGTGAGGGACTGCTCCAGTGCTGTCGGGTCGGACGAATGTGTCTGCTGATAGGAGCAGGAGTCAGGCTCGCTGGCTGGAGTCACGACTCGTAGTCACGGCAAAGGCCTTGTCCTGGTCCTGGTCCGTCAACACGGTTAAAAGGGAGCCCCAACCCGCCGCTCCTTCGCTGAGTTCTGAGAAGGCTTCCTCATCTCCTGCGGCCCGTGTGTCACTTTGATTTGATTGATTATTTATTACGGAAAGCTGCTCCGATGGGGTCTACATTCGGCCGGCGGCTGCAGTCTTGTCTCGCCGTTTGTCTGTCTCCACGGGGCCTGACAGCTCGGCCTCAGCGGTGGTCGGTGCGCTGCGTGTTGACCTGTGCGCCCTGACGCGGACACGGCTGGTGCGCCGCGGCCGCCGGGGCGGGTGCCGCTGACGGCTGACGGCGACCCCCACCTGTTGCAGGGACGTGTACGTCATCGAGGTGGCCGAGACGGACCGCACCTTCAGTGACAGCGACGTCACGATCCGCCTGTCGCCGTCGGACACCAGGTGGGTCGTGTTCAGACACCGGGTGGGCCGTGTTTGGGTACAGCGTAGGTCGCGTTCGGGCACAAAGTGAGTCGCGTTCGGAAACAGCGTGTCCGTTGTGTTCGGACACATTCGGACACCGAGTGCCGGGGCCGTTTTCAGACACTAGCGGTCGTCCAGGCTCAGTCATTGCCCCCCCCCCCCGTCTTCCCTCCCCGCCGCCCTGGGAATGGATGGAAAGACTGCTGAATTATGTATCGTCGCGTCCAGCTGCTAAGGTCTTTAGCGCCGCGTCATCTCTCGACTAGCAGGGCCTTGAAGCGAGCGCAGTATGCAGCACGCGACGTGATAACGGCTGCCAAGAAGACAAGGCGGTCGACTCTCAATAGCATCACGTTTACTCGCCTTGTTTTCGAACGTGTCCTCGCGCCAAGGCACTCAAAGAACGCTGCGAAAGGGGGACCATAGCCACGTGTGTGAATACCAATTGGAGCACGACCAGAAAGTTGTTGGATAGATACGCTTCATACCACTTGAAATTAAAGCGTTCAGAACTCAGATTCCGACCCAGGGCCAGCGTCCATTCTTGGAGTTATGCGATGCTTTGCAATGCGATGCAATGCATCTGCAATTTTATGTGACGCCGTCGGTGGTTTGCACTGGGCTTCGAACGGGTTAGTGTTAAGAACTGCAGGCGTGAGGCGAGAAGGGAAGGAAGCTCTGCTTGAAAAGCGGCGATTGCCATGGGCACGACGTGTTCCGTCACCGCCGACCGACCCGCTGAATGGAAAGAAGCGCGATCAGACTCGCTGTTCCCAGGGATGTTCCATCTTTGGATGATATTGCGCGATCTTTGTCCTGCGGCGGCGTCACTCAGCCGCTGTCATTCTGGCTTCTGGAAAATTTCTGGGACGAACGCGTGCCTGGTTTAGCCTTGAAAGTGAGTCTGTCGTGTCGGCATATGCTGTGTTGGATCCGGTATGGTGCTTTTGAAGGTGAAGATCATTCGGTTGTGCGATTCGTATATTGTTTCTTTGTTAAGGGCGCGTGGGTACCCAGCGTACTAACTTTTTGGGGAGGAATGCTTGATTTGTCGTGACGCCTCGCTCATTTATCATATGTAGTGTGCAAAATCGTTTGATCTCCTCGTGACTAATATTTACCACCGGGGCAGCTTTGGTGTGGTGTAAAAATCCACCACGTTCTTATCAGATCACGGCCAAGATGCAGCTGCACGTGCAGGCCGTGTGTGATGGTATTTTGCACCGCGATTCGGTTGGAGCGAGAGGTGCATCGGGGTTGTTTTGATGCAATGCGCCGGGAAATCTGGCGTGCTAGCGATGCGCAGCTCAGACGTGTCAGCAAAACTGCGATGGCGTGACGTGACATGATGGCGTGACGGGCGGACTGCGTGATCGGCTTAAGTCCTGGCTCGCTGTGACGTCACCCGCCCCAGCAGATTCGCCTGTGCGCCCGGACGCCGACCGCTGGTTGTGGGGGCCAGCGGCGCGACGCGCTCGTGTTGGTGTCGCGATGGTGACAGGCGCGGCTGGGCGCCGCTCAGCCCGGGGCTGGCCCAGGCGACATCGCGCCGCGCTCCGGACCGCGGCACGCAGACCGCGGCACGCGCCGCCGCAGAGGCAGCAGGCCGCCTACGCCCGGGCTGCGACGGCGTGCTGCGCGGAGCGCGCGCCCCGCCCCGCCGTCCAGGCCCGGCGAGCCCGCTGCTGCCGGGTGCTGCGTCACCCGCCCGTTTCAGCACTCTTCAGCGCCAGCTTATCGCTGCCGGACGGCTGGCGGCCGCCTTTCTGCCCGCTAATGCACCTCTGGCATGGCGCGGCCGGCGACAGTCGGCGACGCGGCTCGCTCGCGCCTGCCGCCCCCTATCGGCCGATCAGCTGGCGCTCAAGGTCGACTCGCACTCACGGCGGCGGCGGCGCCGACGACAAGAGCTACCGGAGCCGACGGTGCTGGGCCGTGCCGGCGGTGGGGAGGGCCGTGTACCCAGCAGGATGGCGTCACGCGATTTTCTGTTGGCGAGGTGCCGAGCGGCTCAGTACAGGGTGATGACGTCACTGGGGCCTTTCGGCTCCGCCGCTACCGCGCCGCCGGCTCCGTCGCCACATCGCGACGGAAATGCCGCACACGGCGCAGCACACGTCGTTAAGTGTTTCAGATGTTGAATGAAGCGTGTAGCAATGCTGTAATGCTTCTCTCAGCGTTTGTAATTTCTCGCCAGTGAGGTATGCCACGGAGCTGTGACATGACGGCGTATGTGATTCCTGGCGGCGGAGGTTGGCTTCGCGCGAGCTTGGACTGGCGAGCGGCCGGCTTGGCCTGGCTCGCCGGCGTCGATTCATTCGCTAGCGGCGGGGCTGCTGCGCTGGCGGCGATGTTTGGCGCCTCGGCGACGGGACTGGGAGCCGCGACGGCCGCGGCTGGTGCGCCGGCCGCGGCTGGTGCGACGGCCGCGGCGGGTGCGACGGCGCGAGCGGAAGTTGTCCGGTGCTGGCGAGCTCGACGGAGCGGTTTTTGGTCAGCCAGTGGGCTCAGCTGCCTGCTCTCCCACAGAATGCTGCGTCGTCGTTTTGGATGTCGCCGCTTGGGGTGCCTGGCATGAGGTGTGCCGACTGTAGCCGAGTCCCTGGCGTCGGCTTAGAGCTGTTTGAGAACTTCGTGTTGGAAGTCTAGGGCTGAGGAGAAGCGAGCCGCAGCGGCTTCCGTTCTCACTGTTCCGGACCAAAAGCGGAGGGGCGGGCCGCGGGCCTGCAGTCTAGGTCAAGTTTGTTATGAAGCTAGGTCAAGTTTGTTATGAAGCCACACCGAGGCCACTTTTTGATAAGATAACATCTGTCAACATCGCCGGGATAAATCCCAGAGAGAGCGACCATTCACTCCAAAGTTGACCTCGGCGTAGCTGAGATCACAAACCAACAGGCGAGCAGGTGTTCCGTGCGGATTTTTTCGCAACGCGCAGGGCCGTGTGCAGCACCTGCTGAGAGAATGATCCAGTGACGTCACGCAAACGTTGGGCGGATGGTGCGCTAACATCGCCGGACGATTCTACCCTCCTTACACGGTTTCGCCTCTACCGTGTCCTTCCGGGATCAGGCTCTGTCCCCGCCGTTAGCTCGGGGGGCGGCAGCGGAGGCGGCAGCGCGCGGCGCCTGTTCAGCGGGCAGCGCGTGCTGCGCCGGCGCGGCTCGCGGGAGCCGCGGAGCTCTGATCTCCGGTACTGAGCTACCAACGGCTCTGATAGCACGGCCGTGTGACGTCGTCGGCTGTAGGCGGGGCGGCACGCTGGCGGGTGGGTCCTTGTGTGCGGCGAGGTTGGTGATCCCCGGCCATGGCAGAGGGGGAGGGCGAGGGGCGCGCGGCTACCCTACAGGGCTGCAGGGCTGGTCAGTCAGGTGCTGGCAGGGACATGGGAAACAGGCGACCAGGGTTGCTGTTGCCCCTCCCCCACCCCCAGCTTGTGGAAGTGAAACGTAAAACCATTTTATGGTGCATGACATAACTGGCTGAAGACGTGTACTCCCCCATGCTTTTGACGTCTTCTGTGCCCCAGGCGCCTGTGCTGGTCGTCTGTGCCAGTCGTCTGTGCTGGTCGTCTGTGCTGGCTGTCTGTGTCGGTCGGCTGTGCTGGTGGTCGCCGGTGCCGGTCGTCTGTGCTGGTCGCCTGTGCCGGTTATCTGTGCCGGTTATCTGTGCCAGTTGTCTGTGCCGGTCGTCTGTGCCGGTCGTCTGTGCTGGTCGCCTGTGCCGGTTATCTGTGCCGGTTATCTGTGCCGGTTGTCTGTGCCGGTCGTCTGTGCCGGTCGTCTGTGCTGGTCGCCTGTGCCGGTCGTCTACGACGGTCGTCTGTGCTGGTCGCCTGTGCCGGTCGTCTGTGCCGGTCGCCTGTGCCGGTCGTCTGTGCCGGTCGTCTGTGCTGGTCGCCTGTGCCGGTGCTGTGTCGGCGGGCGGGTCAGGACTCGCGGACTGATCGTCAGTTTCTGTTTCAGGGAGCGGCAGTCGGGTAACGTCACCCTGGTGAGTGTTGCCGGGCCGCGGCCTCCCGCGCAGCCGGTGTGTGCGGCACGCATCGACGCTGGGGTCACACACGCACGGACTCGCTAGTCACGCTGGGGCGGGGCTGAGGCTGCAGCGGCGCCAGCGGCCGCCCTCAGCGAAAGCTCCGGGAAGTCTTGCGTGCTTGCCGGCGGGCTGGCGCTCAGGAACAAAGGCCCGAACCGGTGTAGCCGTTCACGCCAACTCTGTTATGACTGTTATGCCGTTGAACATTCGCTGACCACGCGTGCGAATGCTGCGTCGCAGTAAGGCCTCGCGCCGTTTAAGGCCGAATTGCGGCCGTTGGTCGTATTGTGCCATGAAACACGTGCCGAACGGGTGGGACAAACGAGCCATTGCACGCGGCGCGTTTGTTAACCGAGGACAGCGGAGCACAGATCTGAATGGCATGCCGCCACCGCGCCTCGGGGTACGTACACGGCGGTAACAGCGTTATGACCATCGATCTCGAACAGTTCAAGGGTGTAATGTTGTCAGTTTCAATGTTTTCCTTGGAATGCCGCACGGCCGAGGGTCGGTGCCGACGACACTGTCCGAGTTGGCCGGTGCCCGGTGACTGCACCGGTTCCGTGTCCGCCGAGGGCGCACGGGCACAGCTGGCGGTGTTTGTAATCACGAGCGTACCTGGCCGGGGACCCACCGGAGCGAGTTCACGTCGTATCGGGCGCTGCGTCTGTGGTGAAAATAGCATCGAAGAATGTGTTCATCATTCCGGAGCTGGTTTTGCGTGCGCTGGTTTTACCCCGCGCGGTTGTATGTGGCCTAATCCCAAACCATTTCTGTACTTGAGTTTGTTCATTAGGCTTGCATTAAATATTTGACTTGCATTTCGACTATTCATAATCAGTCGCCTGGCGGCGACACACCGCATAGAAATAGCCTGAGGGCTTTGATGCATTGGCCCAGGGTTTCAGGCTATCAGCCGCGGAAGGTCACAAGATTCGTTGGGGTGCGAGAGCTAGGCTTACGAGGCATGTATTAAGTGTCCGCTTTTGTAGTGGCTTCAAGTGACATCGGCTGATTTGGCTTTAAATTGGAGTCATCTAGACATATTTCGCGAAGCAAAGGCCGCAAATAGACAAGAACAAGTTGTGCACGGCTCTAATGGAAAGAGAAGCAGAATTGGCCCCCAGAATGCAATGAACGCCTAGTCACCAGCCGTATTTTGACACTGGAGGATTTCAGTTTGTAATTCCAAGACAAATTACCATCAATGGTTTCCTCGTAAAAGCGGCAGCCTATCGCAGCCGCGCGTTTGTCCGGCCTGTCTTTTGCCCCAAGCTGCCTCGATACGAATAAGCCGTGTTGCTGTGCGCTTTCGGGCTTAGACGTATTGAGCGATGCGGGTGAGAGTGGTGGTGGGTCAGTGGTCCGTCGCAGAGAGGCATGTTGCGCAGATTGTGACTCACCCACAAAAATAGGCTGAAGAAGCGGCCGGTTTACCTCAGGCGCCTGGCCAAATAGTCCTGAGGAATCTGTAGCGCTTGCACGCGCCCCTCTTTGGGCATCGGTCCCGGCTTTCCTAGAGGACCGTAGTCGGAGTATGCAGCTGGATCTTTATCTAGGAATCGGACCAGCCGTCTGCCTTCCACGCAACGCCCACCAGCACGTCTTGCGTCCATTCTTGTTTTGGCTGCTGAGCGGGCGTCATGTCTCAAAACAGTTGCAGCTCGATATATATCCACCGACACATCTCCACGGGGCTGGGTGCCAGCGGCTCCTTTTATCAACTTTCTGCCTGCCGCGTGCGCATCTCTGTGTGTGTGTGTGTGTGTGTGTGCGCGCGCGCGCTCTGGCCGCCGCGCGCCCGGTTACCGAGGTCAGCTCGAGCGGCTGACGTCACCACGACCGACTCTGACGTCAGCACGCCCCCGTTCCAGCTGCTGAAGGCGGCCATGCCGGTCACTTGGTCGCTGATGACCGAGAGGTTCTCCGGCGACATTTTGGTGGTGGTGAGTAGTAGCCCCTAGCAGAGCGGTTTGCCGTTGCTTGACATATGGTTGATATGGGAGAAGCGGTCTCAATTTATAAGTATGCATGCTCGCAGAGTTTTTGTACGTGCAACGTGTCATGCCACCGCTCGTAACTAATCACTGCGATTGGTGCTATTCTGGATGACATCCCAGTATCGATGAAGAGCATCTGTTGTAGTTGACGTAGATTTGTCTTCGATCGTAGCTCACTTGGAGCACTGGCGCCAAAGGTTAGCTTTCGAGGCTGCCACAAGACCGTCAAACACGTTAGAGTTTGTGTCTAACAGCATCCGTCTTCGTGTGCACTCGCTAGCCAAAGCACCGTCTCGGCTGTTTTGTTAGTCTGCGTTTTGTTACTTTGTTGTGGGCGCCGCCGGTCATGATGATGAGTTTAGATCAGATCAGATCAGATCAGATCAGACTGGATCAAACGCCATCGGATCGGACAGAATAGAACGGAGTCATGATGTGGCGAACCAATACAAGACGTTCGGGACCAATTTGGATGAAATGATGATTCGAAAAAAACTTTGGAACACTGCTGGGATGCCTTCCCATTTTTGGTGGTAGCATTTGAGCGGCGCTAGATCGGAGTCGGGGTGATATGCTGGGTGACTTCAGCGGATAAGCTAGCGTCGTGCCTTGATTCCTGCCGACTGTCGGCTCGCCCCGGCCAGCCGGCGCTCGGTGCGGTGAGACCGAAAGCAGGCTGGACTTGATTGGGAGCGTCGCTCAATTACTCCGAGGCTGGAGCGTCGCGGCCTTGATCTTCTCGCTAATTCAGTAAGGTTGTTCTGTGATTTACGTTTCCGTCCTAGTTCCGAGATATCTACGTCCAGATATCTTGATCCGTGCCATATCGCTGAGGACGGCTGCCACGACCTCTGAAATTCGTGCACGCCAGTGTCGCCAATCCGGCGGCGCGGCTGCGTTTGATGATGGTCACCACCAGCCGCCTGAAGATGGTCTGCCTCGTTTGTGGAGCTGAGGAGGTCCTGGCATGGGCCTCAATGCTCCGGGTAATCCAATGAACGCTTAGCATGCTGGACTACTATTTGAACTTCAGAAATGGTGTGAAAACGCTGCCCGAAGAATTAGCCTCAGATTGTGTAGCTGGCTGTGTGTAGCTGATTTGTTCGCTATCCCCTGGTGCTCTGGAGCGCGGCTCCTCCACGGGTCGAGCGCAGTCACGGCTCACTCCATCAGGGTGACACTCTCCTTCACGCTGCCGACGACGTGACGCCAACCCGTACTACCCCTCCACGTGCACCCTGTCGACCCCGGCTCAGGGCGGTGGCAAGCCGGGGCCGAGTGCGCTCGCGCCGCCGCGGCCTGACCGGCAGCGGGCGGCTCCGAGGCATCGAGGCCCCGAGGCCGTGCGTGGTGACCGAGCGCCGGGCCACACCGTGGCCCCCGGCCGGGCGGAATGTCACGGTCGGGACCGAAATGGCCGCGCCCCCGCCTGGCGCCGTCCGCCCCCGGCTAAACAGAGGCACGGTGGGCGGATGGCACGCGGCCGCCGCCACGTGCTGGCCAATCTAAATTTGGCGTCATGTTTCAGATATTCTGAGCGGCGGCGGCTGTCGCCGGCGGCCGGCGGACGGGGGCCAGCGGCCCGCGCCCGATGGCGCCGGGGGTGGGCCGTGCGCCGCCTCCAGGGCGGCGGCCACCCCTGAGCCCGTCAGCCGGTCGGCGCGTCGTTTGGGAAGACTCTCAGGGTGGGAACTCCCGGGGTGGGGGGCGGGGGAACGACCTTTGCTCCGTGGCGTGGCGACGTTTGTGGCGCAGTGTTCGGGCGCTGCGCTGCGCTGCGCCGGTCGGTCTGTGCTGTCCCGACCGCCAGCGCTATTCAGGCCATTGCTGATTGCGGGGCGGCGCTCTGAGCTCTTAGACTGGCTGCCGTCATCCCTTTAAAGGAGCCGAGCGGCCAGGCACTCTCAGCCCGGTCCGCGATTAGCGACGGTGGGAGCCGTGCACTGCATCCAGCCGTCCGGCTCCGGCCGCAGCTGCACCGAGAGCGCTCGAGTGGCCCGGCCGCGGCCGCTCTGCACCGTAGCGGGCAGGCTGGGCCGCGGCGACAGCGGACGCCACCGAGTGGCCGGCGAGACGCTCAGCTCGCAGGCCCTGTGGAGTCGCAGAGCCGGCGCAGGCTGGGGGCGAGTGACCCCGAGTGTGCCGCGGGAACGTTACCCCGGCTTACGGGCCTGACGATGAAATCCTGCGCCGATGCCGCGCCTGCTCTGTGACGAGGACAGTGTCGTGCGCAGACTCGGACGAACGGAACTGGTCGCCGCCGGAGTCGGTCGGGAGGTCACTGCTGCGTTTGCTAACAGGCTTCACGGACGCTATCTGAGCTGTGTCCACCGTGTGTGGACGGACGCCCCGCCGACGCCGCAGCCGACACGGCCGTGCGGTTTGGTCGGGTCGATCCGCCTGACGCCGATGGCTACCATCGCCCAGCCGCCCGCAGCCTCGGACGTGCACACCGCTAGTGCGCCCTGCGCAGTATGTCCCAACGTGCGCAGGTGTCCATCGGCCCTTATCGCTGCGTTTGCGTCTGCATGCGACGCGTCCGAGCTGGCTCGGCGCATGGCGGTACCGGGCGCCGCCATGTACGTCCCTGTGTGTGTGTGTGCTTGCCGCGTGGGTGGCCCAGGATGATGCAATACTGCAGCGGCGGCGGGCGCGCGGGCGGCGGGAGCTGAGCGCGTCGTCTCTCGCGCAGACCGAGTTTCCCGTGGTGAACGACAGCCTCGACAAGTCCGTGTCACTGAAGGTGAAGTTGACCCGCCTGCCGGACTCGTTCAACGACCTCGTCATCTTCGCGGTGGGCTACTCGAGCGGGCCGCCGGTGGCGTACATCCGCTCCCTGGCCGCCCATCGGCTCAACATCGGGCTGCACTCGGCGTCAGGTCAGTGAGGATGGCAGATGGGTCAGGTCTCAGGTCAGTGGGAGGGGAGAAACGGGTCAGGTCTCAGGTCAGTGGGGAGGGGAGAGACAGGCCAGGTTTTAGGTCAGTGGGGAGGGGAGACGGGTCAGGTCTCAGGTCAGTGGGGAGGGGAGAGTCGAGTCAGGTTTCAGGTCAGCGGGAGGGGAGAGACGGGTCAGGTTTCAGGTCAGTGGGGAGGGGAGACGGGTCAGGTCTCAGGTTAGTGGGGAGGGGAGACGGGTCAGGTCTCAGGTCAGTGAGGAGGAGAGACGGGTCAGGTCTCAGGTCATTAGGGAGGAGAAATAGATTAGGTCTCAGGTCAGTGGGGAGGAGGGAGACGGGTCAGGTCTCATGTCACCGAGGGGAGAGACGGGTCAGGTCTCAGGTCAGTGGGGAGGTGAGAGACGGGTGAGGTCCCAGGCCTGTCACCTGAGGCTGTGTGAGGTCAAAAGTCAGTCGGCTCCGCCTGGACGACGAGCCGGGTCACCAGGCAGGTCACGTCAGGCCGGCAGACCGACCGTGCCGGGGCCGCGTGTGTCGCGCGCCCCAGCGCGGCGCCGGCCCGGCCACCGGCTCCGTTCTAGCTGCCGGGCGGATCCTGGAATGCAGCCCGTCCAGGAAGCTGGCGACGGCCGGCGGCGTTCACATTCCACGGCAGGTCGACTGCAGCGCGCCGGCCGCCCGGCTCGCCGCTGAATGGACGCGTCGGTCGCTGCTGGCAACAGCGCCGTGCCGTGCCGCCCGGCTCGACGAGGCACGGGCACGGGCGCTGCCGGAGCGGGACGAGACAGGACGGGGCACACGTTCAGGGCGCCGTAGACGCTGGTTGGGATCGCGTTGGTTTCGGCGGGGAAGGCTGCTCGTGCAGAGAGGTAGCCGGGCTTTTATGGCGTCAGTATGTCGAAGCGGCGCTGGGTGGATGTGGAGTAGCGGCTTTGCGAGCGGGGAGTCAGGGGCGCTAATGTGACTGCTGACCCACATTTGAGCCCGCCACGTGTGTGATGTAGTCCTTACCGTCGGTGAGTAGGTGTAGTGGATGCTAACTATGTAGGGCTAGTTTGCTCTATAGGGAGGAAATAAACTAACCCCTCTACCCCTGCTGCATTGGCCTTCGGGCAGCGATCGCACAGCGGTCGGGCGTCCCTGATGGGGAAGTTTTGTACAGAAGTTTTGAGAGGGGTGGGCACAGAAAATTGGTAAACCTCAACTGCATAGTACAGACTATGTTTTCTCCCTGAATTTGATCAAATTTCTTCTCAAAGTTGGGTGGGTGGTGGGCGTAGAGTCCCATCTACTGACAAGCAAACTACACCTCTGGTCCCAAATCAAATATATCGTGGTCGGTGCAAGGCTAGGTGGGTGTCACATTACCCTTGCATATGAGGCGAGAAAGATTCATCTTGGCTGGTAGGTAGGTGCTATAACTGATATGTGCCAGACGTTCTTGGCCATAATAAAGTGGCTTGCATGACATTTCAACCATAAATTTGTTGTGATGCGCCCTGGGTGATTATGCGACAGGTGCACAGTATTGTAAGCATTGTTTGTAATACCGTTGATAGAGGCTGACACCTTTGGAATAAAACTGTCAATATAAACAGCTTTCTGCCAGCTCAATAGCCTTAAATTGCGCAACAGGTGTGAGCATGCGTTTACAAAGCGAGCACTCACTTGGGAAGTTCGAAACTTTCAGAATCACAAGCTGCCAGTCTTCAATGGTTTTGGCAATCACTGAGGCCAGCTAGCGCATGGTATTTACTGCCAAGTACTGCTAAAGAAATGCCCTTTGGTACCAGCGGTGTACACAGCGCAAATGCATCTTTTTGTTTCACTTCCTAGATATTTTTGTTCTCTCTCCTCAAGAGCCAAGACCAAATATGAAATACCGGTCGGTGCGCATTCAATTCATACCTCCGTGTAATTTCAGGTGGTTTCATGGACCAGGCACGAACCTCAAAAGGTACCCGGAGGGCGTCCAAAAAGAGCTCACCAGGCAGCAAGCGGGACATGCGACGGCCAGAGGCGACCGGTGCGTACTGCGTCCGCCTGCATGCAGCCTGCAGGGCAAATGGCGCTCACGTCCTGCTGGAACAGCGCTCCGTGCACTCGGCCGGGTCCCCTGGGAGCCCAAACGGCACACGTCTCGCAGATACGATCGGCGCGGGCGCGGCCCGCTGCAGGAGGATGAAGGGAGGGAGGCAGGCGCCGCTGACCGGCCAGCTGTAGCACGCGGCGCGCCGGCGCGCTCGGCCGGCGGCGCAGTTAACGACCAGGCCGCGCGCGCGCAGGAGAGGCGGGCGGCGTTTCACACGGCTCGCGCGGGCGAACGCCGCTACACGCCGCGCCCCTCGGCCGCCGGCCGGTCGTCAAGAGGTGTCGGGAGGGAGCGGGGCGCGCGTAGCACGGATCGGACCGGCGCTGCGAGTGCGCACTGGCCCTGCAGCACGCGGCCGTGTTCCGAGGCTGAGCCGGCTGTGTATTGATACGGGTACGGCGGATGTTTTGGCCGCGAACGCCGGCGTGACGTGGCGGTTGTCGCCATGGAAACGGACGCGCGTGGGCCTTGGCACTCGCAAAGCCTCGGTGGTCTCGGAACCTGTCGTGTCGTACGGACGACGTGGGGAGTATGGCGCTTGCGACAGTTGGCATTGGCGGAGTCATATATGGCTATGACGTTGGCCATGTCGCCATTGACCGTTCAGGAGCCGGGGGATTAAGATGGTATCAAGGGCAGGAGTAAAAATCACTCACGATAAGCGCCTTTGCAGGGCGCCTGCACGCTCTAGCGTCCGTCGTCGCCCAAGTGATCGCCACGGAGAGCGGCGGCTATCGCCACGTTGACACTTGACTGACGACTTCCTGTGAGGGTGTGAGAGCGCGGGGGGACGTGACGGGAGATAGAACGGTGATATATATATATATATATATATATATATATATATATATATATATATATATATATATATATATATATATATATATATATATGTGTGTGTGTGTGTATATATACATAAATAGATACAGATGCGTATATATATATATATATATATATATATATATATGTGTGTGTGTGTATGTATATATAGTTGTAGAGGGTTTGTAGAGGCATCTAGTCAGCCAGAAGGCGTTTACCGTCCCGGGGTAGATGCGCTGCTGTCGCCGCCGCCGCCATCGCCACCGCCTTCGCCGTACGTGGCGGTGCGTGGTGCCGGGCGGTCACGGCCGAGCGAGCTGCGCTGTGACGTCGCACACGGCGTGACGCCGCCACTGACCGGCCGGACGCGAGCCGAGCGGGCTGCGCTATAAACAGCGCGCACGCTGCGCTCTGATGGGACGGTGGGGACATTGGCGACGATGGGTGACCGTTCCGCGCGCCCTGAAGGCCCGGAGAAAGTTTGCGATCGCTGCGGATGAGCAGGTTGATCCATTGGGGCATTGGTTTGTCTGGTTGTGCCGTGCCAGCACTTCTGACCGTTCAGGAGCAGCGATGACCCGCGTGTCGGCGCTCCGGCAGGCTGGCGCGCGGGCGCCGCGTCAGGCGTGCTGCGTCGCGCGCTCTCCGTCACCTGCGAGCTGGGCCGGCTCGTGGTGGCCGTGCCGGCCGAGCGGGCCGACGAGCGGCGCGTGCGCGCCCTCCGGCTGGCCGACCCCACCTGCCGCTCGTTCCGCAACTCGTCCCACCTGGTCATCAGCCAGCCACTCGACGACTGCGAGACGCGGCGGCGCGTCGTCGACGGCAAGGCGGTCTACCTGAACACGGTACGGACGCGTGGGACGGCGGAGGTGGGACGGGGTGGTGGCGCTGTTGTGTCGGCAGCGGGGTGGTGGTAGGGTGGGATACGGCGGTCACGATGTTGTAGGAGTACGGCTGACCTGCTGGATTTTGTAGATACGCTAGTTATCGTTGTGTTGCGTGTACTTTTTACAAGTAAACACGGGCTTGCTACTTGCCGTATAACGCTTTGTTGCTTGGAGTGCCCTGTCGGTACGCACTAGTACCCGGTAATTTCGTGTCGTGAGTGACGGCCGGATGTGGGAATCCCTGTTCGTGTTCGTGGCTTTTATGTAAAATTGTGAGTTTATTTCCCGTTGACACCGCCTACTCTAAAAGTGTCGTGTTACAACGTGCGATTCATCCTGCTGATATGTCGCTTCCTTTTGTCTTTGTTCACACTGCTGAGGCGACGGTGGTGCTGATGGCCTTTATTGTACCACTTCCACGAAGGCCCTGTTACTTCGAAATGCCATTAAAAACAGGTTTTAAGTGTATGCTGACTAGTACAGTCGTGAGCCGTCCTAAAGTACGGCCGTCCGGCTTCTGGAGTGGATCACACATTGGGTGCTCTTCCACTAAAATTTAAAATGTTGCTGTGCTGAAACAGGCTCAATGAACTCAGTCAAGCGGAAGCTATGGAAGCAAGATCCTGATGTCCTCGCACGTCGCCGAACCGGTTTATTGGCGTCACTTTGACGCCCGTCTTGTTGCGACTTACCCGGTTGCGTTGGTACTGGGAGGACGTGGTGCGCTTGTGCCGCGTTTTTTCCCTGGCACTCAGCTGGTTGGGGCTGATTGGTCGTCACAAGTACGGCGGCGGCGGCCGGTCCAGATCGGCTGATGTCGGCGGCCCCACCGACCCGTCTCGCCCCGGACCACCGCGCAGTGGACGGGGCCGGCCTCACGTCCCTCGGGCAGGCTCCTGTACCGCAGGCCGGGCTCGCGTACCGCAGGCCGGAGCGCTGTAGCGCAGGCCCGGCTCGCGTACCGCAGGCCCGGCTCGTGTACCACAGTCCGGAGCGCTGTACCGCGGGCCCGGCTCGTGCACTGCAGGCCGTAGCGCTGTAGCGCAGGCCCGGCTGTACCGCAGGTGTACGGTCAGCTGGCCCGGCATGTTGCACATTGTCATAACTATTAGCACATGCACTGTGGATGGTAATAACAGAGGCAGTTGGAAGGCGACGCTTTTCGGCGTAATGGCTGTCGGAGGATTTATGGCCCCGAGCTAATAGCTAGTTATGTTTTGCTGGTGTAACGTGAGTTTATTTATTTTATATGTTTATTTATTTCATCGCCAACGAAGCGGCACTCCACGAACAGGTGAATTCGTGTAATTAAAACACAATAAATACCGATACACAGCAGTATGAGCATAATTTTTGAGGAAGACATCTCAGAGCTGAGTAAAAATGCTGCAGAGTTAAAGCAGCCTGATCACTTTAACTCTAAAAATGTAAAAACTGTCACGAAAACTATTCGCGCTAGTGTTGCTCGCCGAGAGTGTTCCCAACGCTTGGCAGTCTGCAAAACAGACCGTTCTGTACGGCTCGCACGCGAGCGCGAGGCACGGCGGGCAGAGTTGGCGTGCGGGTCGATCGAGGCGGCGCAAGCAAGGGGAAGTAGCTTAGCAAGACGTGAGGGTCCAGCTTACTTTGGAAGATGTTTCTCAGAAAGAGAAATTCGTACTGTACTGTTCGTGCTGCTAGGGATGGGATTTTGGAAATGAAGCGGAATGATATCATAAGAAAGAGAAGCTGTTGACCCAGAGAAAATGTGAGTAATCAACCAAAGAAGAAGTTTGTGTGGTTTATTATTTGTGCGGTTAAATTTGTCGATCTACGCACACTGTGCGGGCATTAGCCGCCCCCGTCCAGACCATGCTGCAATATTCGTAAACCAATCGCACGTTTGCAAAATACGTAGCCGTCACTGCACTTCAGTTAAATTCTGACCAGTTGGTACCGACCTGGAAGGACCTAATAAGAAGGCCAAGTGCTCGACTGCCCCTGCGACCGTGTTAGAGACATGTGCAGTGAAGGTTTGTGTGGTTTCCGACGTCACGCCAAGGTCCCTGATGGCGCCACGCATGTTTAAACTCAGCTCTATTGACAGAAATCTTGGTCTGAACGGAAGCACGCCTAACTGTCCTCGTGAATATTTTACATTGTGTAGGACTGAGGGTCAGCCCCCACCCGACTGACCACGCTACCAGATGATCGAGATCATTCTGCAGCTGCAGTCCATCAGACGGGGACGTAATTTTGCGGACAGTTTTTACGCCATCGGCATGCAAAAAACAACCGGATTCAATGACGCACGGAAGATTTTTAATAAACTATGAAAAGGGAGGGTAGCCAAGAGTGATCCTTCCGGGACGCCGGAGGTCGCCAGGTTCCAGTCGGAAGATTTTTCGTTGACGGTAATCTTCTGATCTCTGTCGGACAGATGCGAGGCAAACCATGGCAGTGCACTCAAGTGGTATGATTGCTTTAACTTGTGGATCAGGACCTCATGGTTAACGCTCTGAAAAGCATCCAAGTAATCAGTGTACGTGACATCTGTTTGGTGTCCGTCCGACATGGCCCCCTAAACTGATCTCTAAACGCACGAGTTAGTGCTGCACAAACGCCTAAGGAAAAAAACCATGCTGATGATGGCACAATACAGGTCAGGCGTGGCGAAGCAGCTCATCAGACGCAGCCCGTTCCAGTATCTTTTCAAAGAGGTGAAGCAAGGATATACTTTGCTGGTCTGACTGCTCCTTTTCGTCGCCTCCATTAAAATTGGTGTGATGTCCTGCTTCCACCTCCCCGGGAAGACACCGGAACTCATCGAGAGGTTTCAAATATTGGTGAGCGGAGTACCTAACTCGTCCGCGCACTCGATGAATATGTGGGCACCGATAATGTCAGTCCCGCAGGCCTTGCTGGGACCGGCCACAGCTATCGCGGATCGCAGGGCCGACTCGGAGACTCGCAGCTGGCTCAGTGCCTCGACTGTTGGGCGATATGGTGCGGAGTGCGCACCAAATCCCACTGCTAGAAGTGGGCCGCCATCTGGCATTGATGATGTGACTGCTCTGATAATGAAATGACGTAGGATATTTGGCTTCCTTTTAGGGCCCTTGCTAACGCTGCCAGAGTTCGCCTGACTCAGAAATGGTATTGACGAAGCAATCACGCGATTGGCAGTTGGTGGGTGGGACAGTGGAATATTGGCAGTGGAAGGCGAGCGCTGACTGTTGAGCCGGCTGGACTGTTGGAAGTGGTGGCGGCTCTTTCCCTCAGCACCAGGAATGAACGTGACGGCTAAACTCGTGCTCTTCTGAGAAATGTTGCTCAAAGTTCAAGCGATAGGAGGCGTTACTTGTTCCAGGGTTACGTACTTTTTACTTTGTTTTTTTTCGAGACCGAAGTGGCGCCACGTGATGCAGCACCGGCCTGCTGCTGAATAGTGGGTTCCTGCACTCTTTCTCTGAGTTCTGGGCTACCTCCGTCTCAGTGTGCTCTAGGCTATCTCCGTTTCTGTGTGCTCTGGACTATCTCTGTCTTTGTGTTCTGGGCCGTCTCTGTCTCTATGTTCTGGACTATATGTGTCTCTGTGTTCTGGGCTGTCTCTGTCTCTATGTTCTGGACCATCTCTGTCTCTGTGTTCCGTGCTGTCTCTGTCTCTATGTTCGGGACTATCTCTGTTTCTGTGTTCTGGGCTGTCTCTGTCTGTATGTTCTGGACCATCTCTGTCTCTGTGCTCTGTGCTGTCTGTCTCTATGTTCTGGACTATCTCTGTCTCTGTGTTCTGGGCTGTCTCTGTCTCTATGTTCTGGACTATCTCTGTCTCTGTGTTCTGGGCTGTCTCTGTCTCTATGTTCTTGACTATTTCTGTCTCTGTGTTCTGGGCTGTCTCTGTCTCTGTGTTCTGGGCTGTCTCTGTCTATATGTTCTGGACTATCTCTGTCCCTGTGTTCCGGGTTGTGTGTCTCTAGGAGTAATATTTCGACCGTGAAAGGAAATTTGCGCCCTCTTTAAGCCCGAATAGCGGCGCCGTAGAACGAACTTTAGATGTGAATTCGTGCCGCTGTTTCGCCTCGCCGGTGGTGTGATCTACACTAGTTTATTTTCCTCTGTGGACACTGCCACCTCCGGAGATGGTGTCGGTGCTGCGGTGCCCTGTGGCAGTACGCGTCGCCGGCCGGCGTCACGCCCTGCCTGATGGTGGTCAGTGTTCGTGGGTAGGCCGTGTGGCGCCGCGGAGCTGGCACTCCTGTCCGCTGTGATGCCGGCGCGTGTTGACTTCCCCGAGCTGATCTCGTCCCCCGGCGCCGGCCTTTCCGTCGCTGCGGCGAGGGGAGGATCCCTGGCGGCTGGGCGCCGCGCGCTAAGGAGGCTAGCGGGCGCCCTTCGAGACGGATCACGTGCACCGCCAGCCCATGCGCTGCGCGGGCCTGTCTGAGACAGTCTGGGCTCGTTGGGCGTGCCCTGGCACCTGGTGAACAGGTGCGTCCATGCGGCTGTCGGCCGCCGCGTCTGACGCGGCCGGCGCGCTGCCGCAGGTGCACTTCGTGCCGTCGGGCGCGCCGCCGGACGACGAGGACTTCGAGGGCTCCGGCTCCGGCCTAGGCCTGGCTGATCCGTGGGAGGAGACGGCGCCGGAGCCGGACGACGACGGCGGTCTGGTGCCGGTCAGCTGCACCCACCCCGGCTGGACGTCCCCGGAGGTCACCCTCAACCAGAACCGGCGACATCAGGTCAGGCCTCTCGGGCATCAGGTTAGGTGGTCAGGTGGTCATCAGATGGTCTCTAAAACATCAATGTGGCAGAAATCTAGCTGCTTGCGTGATAGGTAGACTAGTGGCGACTTCGTGTCAGATCTTCAAGCGCGTCAGGCGAAGGTAGGTCTCGTCGGTCTAGAGCTGTTGCTATCCAGTACCTCACACTTTCCAACAGTCACACCTCACCACAGTGTCCACATGCACAACCAACAGCATCCTTGCGTCTTTGAGTCTATGAGCGTATGAATATATAGTGCTGAGGGTGGCATTTTAAAGAAGGTATCAGTTCATATTGCAGATGGAATGTATAGTTTGAATTCCGACGGAACAGATGGCATGTGGTGAAGTGATCGACCTTCCAGGATGGTTGGATGTTTTTATGCATGTATTGTCCTTGAGGCTTATGAGGATTCTGGGGATTATATTCTGAGAGCATTTGAAGGTTTTTAAGGATTCTGGAAACGTTACTGCCGTGAAATATGCCTTGTTTCAACCAAGTTAAGGCCCGAGGTGAGGTGTTGTTGGCGCAACAAATGCCGTGGATGTGCCTGTCTTGTGGCTGAAGTGATGTAGTTTGAACTAATCAACGTATTTTTGTTTTTCCTTGATCAAAGAAGCTAGCTCCGAAGAATTCTGCATCCGTTTTGAGGCGTCGACTCCGCCACCGTTAGTGAGAAGTGAACTCGTCATCAGCGGCGTTGGCAGTGCACGCCTCTCTGTTTCCAGGAGGAGGTGCTCAGCCCGGACGATGTGGACTCGTCCGTGTACTCGCTGGAGCTATTCTCCGACGAGGTCTTTGCCGCTCCTATTGAGCCAAATGCGCTGGTTCCTGTTACGCATAGCATATATGCACGCGCTACTATTCGTATAGGTAAGGACCCACGCCGGAGTTTTCGTGTGGCTTGTGATGCGTTCGGTTTGCGTTCTCGTGAGGCATGAATGTCGGCCGACTTGAAAACTGCGATGGGGTGCAGCAGGGGACATCCTGTTCTGCCATGTGTATGGCAGTGACGTAGGCTCTCCGTACACAGGCTCCGTCTGATTGATGCATTGGGCAGACACTTGTCTGTTTTGTGTGATTCTAAACATAACCGTTTGCTCGGATCATTCTGTACATCGGCTGGGCTCTGTCATGGATTGTCGGTAACTCGCTGGCAATGTCGTAGTATGCCGCCACCACTCCCATTTTTCACCACACGCTTGTACCCATGAGTTAAGATTGTGCCGCCCCCACCCTCTCGCTGCTTGTCGCGCGCCAGTGTGCGGCCATCCCCGGCGCGCGACCGTTGCTGTACTAACCGTTGCCGTCAGATCCAGCCCCCGTCAGTCCGCACCCATCCCTCGCGCGGCCGTCGCCATACTAACCTCGCCGTTCGCTCCAGCCCCGTACCTGCAGCCCGTTGTGGAGGAGTGTTGGGTCAGCAAGGACAGCGACCCAGACACACCGTACAAGTTCCTGATCATCCGCACGGCGTGTCCTGTGGACCGGAGTGTTTCGTTCATGGACGCCACGCCGCCCGACAGCGACGTCTTCAGCTTCCAGGTGAGGCGCGTGCGGGGCTGCCGACGTCATACACGCCGGGGTTTGTGATGTGGTCTCGAACGTGATGTCTTTGAATGCTCGAGGTGAGCTCGGCTGCCGGCGCACCGTACGGCCCCGACGAGCAGCGACACTGCCCCTCAACGCCTCTTTAGACGCAAATGAGGGAAGAGATCTGGACGGGGCGTGAGGCACCACCAGGGTGTGGCGGGATGCGGAGAGAGAGGGCCAGTCGAGACCGTGCCGTGACGAGAGGCGAGGAGACCGAATCCGGCCTGGTATGGCAGCGTACCGTGGCGAGAGGCGAGGAGACCGAATTCGGCCTGGTATGGCAGCGTGCCGTGGCGAGAGGCGAGGGGACCGAATCCGGCCTGGTAGGCCGCGTACCGTGCCGAGAGGCGAGGGGACCAGGCCGGATTCGGCCTGGTATGGCAGCGCGGCATCTGGCTTAGTCTCTGAAGCTTGGAAGTTGCGAGAAGTCCGGATCTGTGCTCGAGCCAGTGCGATTATGCTAGCAGTTGCGTAACCCATTTGGAGAAGGGTCAATTTCTTTGAAAATGTTTCTGAAGAACTAGTTACTTATGTTAGCTTTTAATGCTAGTTACACGAAGTGTGCTTACATTTCAGTGCTTCCGTGTTCTTGAAATGGGTCACTGGTGAAAGGTCCTTCTGCGAATGTGGCGAGCGCGTAGAAACCAATGTGCGGTTAAGAGCGTCGCGTAATGGACCATATTCGCTTGTTTGAGTAAAGATTGTCGGCCGTGGCAATCAGCTCAGCACTCGGTGCCGCCTGCTCTGCCATAATCCAGCGGCGCACACGCAGCGCCACCGGTGGATTTGGTGGGCCGCTCCGGAGCTTTGAAAGTGTCTGGAACGTGGCGTGCTTAGTGAGGAGTGCTCTGTGGAACTGAGTGATCTTCACGATCTGATCGCTTGTTGATAGGCGTGGGACTTCATGACTGGTAACTCATCTTACGCCGACCTGACCACATATTAAATACTGTTCTGCATTATACAAGAACTATGTAATTGTCGTTTCCTTACACGAAGTAGAATGCTCAACTTATAGTGGTGCTGAAAACGCAAAATTTGTACCTTCTGTGTTTTGTTCACGGTTAGTCATCGGGTGGTTGATGCCCCCAGTAAACCGTCAATTACGACTGAAAATATTAGGTTGTTTCCGGCTCAACATGGCAGGTTACTGCCATTGAAAAGCGCTGATATTCTCAGCAACGGTACGGTTTTGTGCCGTAATAAATGCGATGCGTTATATATGAGATGCATCATAAAATTCAAACAAGGACCCAACATACTCCTCTGGACCAGTTTCGGCCGCCTTGGTGTATCTCATACCTGTTCGGTATCGTAAGCGACTCATTCGGGGGAATTTTACAACGCGTCCTCGTCTGATTTGTTTCAATATCTAGCAAGTATGGTTGGTTTCAAGGCCAAGACGAGCAGCTGTTAAAAACATGACACCTTGGGTGGGAGCTTGTGAGCACCTTGTGGTACTTTGAGCGTAATAAATGTGTTCAGTGCGGCGTTGCAAGTGGCTGCCGTAGTTGTACGCTGTGCTATCGCGGCCGCCAGGGGCATTTGTGCTCGTTTGATGAAGGAAATAAACGCTTGCAGCTTGATTGCGGCATAAAACCCCGCTGCATTTATATATATATATATATATATATATATATATATATATATATAATCCCAAATCATCATCACTCAACGTGAGCGTGGAATTGGTTACGCCGGGCCGGGCCGCGTCCGTGGCCCGACGAACATAGGCACATTCGTGTGTTGTATCGCGCACCGCTGCTATGCCAACTGGAGGCATGCTGTAGCTTCCGCCATGGCCTACATTTGGCGTGTGGCCGGTGTGCGTGCCAGCATGAAGACTGGCGCGTCCGCCGGAAGGGCCTGAACGCAGCTGACCGCCGCCGGGCCGCCAGGTGTCGCGCCAATACCTGGAGCTGGGGCCGTACTACCTGCACTGCCGGCTCGGCGTGTGTGTGCGGCCTAACTACCCGGCCAGTCCACACATCGCCAAGGTGAGGGCGCCCTCGGGCCAACAATTGCCCATACCCATGCGGCGACTGGGCTGCCGAAACAGTCGCGCCACTCCCGGCTGCGATGGAAGCAGAGGTTTATTTGGTGTCCGGTAGATGGCGTTATTGTAGGCGGTCTGGAAGTCAACTCTTAGGCGGGAAAGTTGCCCGGCTTGGCGTTTTTTCCCCGGGCCGCTCTAGGCGCAGTATCATTGTTATTTGTTCATGGTACTGCGTGAGATGGTGTAGTTGTCGCGTTGCCATCCATACCCGCGATTGCCAGGTTTCCGCCCAATGGAAGCTATTGCTGTGACTGGCTGTTTCATGCCGGACTGCGCCGTACCCGTAACGGCGCCCGTGCCGTACCGCACTGTACCCGTGCTCGTGCTCGTGCTCCTACTCATACTCGTACTCATGCTGATGCTCGTACCTGCACCTGCACCCATCTTGTTCCGCATCTGTACCCGTACCGGCACCGCATCCGTTGCCCATACCCATGTCCGTACCAATGGACACACCAATGCCCAAGCATTCCTCTTCATGTGCGTGTACCTGCTTCCGTATTCGTGCCTGTTTCCTGCAGTGCCGGAGTACTCGCACTGCGACAGGCAAGGAATGGGTGGTGGGTGTGATGGGTACGAGCACCCATTGTAACCCAACTCGCGGCGAGGCGTTGCCCGTGTGTGACATGACACGGTGTCGCCTCGCCATTGTGTGACATGACACGGTGTCGTCTCGCCAGCGCGGCCTGCGTGTGGTCTGACTCGGTGTCGCCTCGCCAGTATGTGATTTGATACGGTGTCGTCTCGCCATTGTGTGATCTGACACGGTGTCGTCTCGCCAGCGTGGCTTGCACGTGGTCTGGCACGGTATCGCCTCGCCGGTGTGTGGTCTGACACGGTGTCGCCTCGCCGGTGTGTGGTCTGACACGGTGTCGCCTCGCCGGTGTGTGGTCTGACGCGGTGTCGCCTCGCCGGTGTGTGGTCTGACGCGGTGTCGCCTCGCCAGTGTGTGGACCGGCGCAAGCACTGCGCGGAGTTCGGCGGCAGCGGCGGCCGGCCCGTGGCGTCCGGGGTGCAGGTGGTGACGCGGGGCCCTCTGCTACCCACCGTCGCCGGTAAGTCCCGCTCGGTGCCCCGGGTGCAGTTGGTGATGCGGGGGGGGGGGGGGGGGGGCTTTGCTATTCACCTTCGCCGGTCAGCCCCGCTCGGCGATCGGCGCTCGGCGCTGCCAGCGGCGCGCCATCTCCAAATGATCGATTGTACGCAACTTGTGGTCGAGGGCTGGCCTGAACCATGCGCATGCGTTTGTGGTCTGATATTTTAGCCTCTCTCTCTCTCTCTCTCTCTCTCTCTCTCTCTCTCTCTCTCTCTCTCTCTCTCTCTCTATCTCTCTCTATCTCTCTCTCTCTCCTCTCTCTCTCTCTCTCTCTCTTCTCTCTCTCTCTCTCTCTCTCTCTCTCTCTCTCTCTCTCTCTCTCTCTCTCTCTCTCTCTCTCTCTCTCTCTCTCTCTCTCTCTCTCTCTCTCTCTCTCTCTCTCTCTCTCTCTCTCTCTCTATCTCTCTCTCTCTCTCTCTCTCTCTCTCTCTCTCTCTCTCTCTCTCTCGCTCTCGCTCTCGCTCTCGCTCTCGCTCTCGCTCTCGCTCTCGCTCTCGCTCTCGCTCTCGCTCTCGCTCTCGCTCTCGCTCTCGCTCTCGCTCTCGCTCTCGCTCTCGCTCTCGCTCTCGCTCTCGCTCTCGCTCTCTCGCTCTCTCGCTCTCTCGCTCTCTCGCTCTCTCGCTCTCTCGCTCTCTCGCTCTCTCGCTCTCTCGCTCTCTCGCTCTCGCTCTCTCGCTCTCTCCCGACTCAGCTGATCGGCTCGCGTCTCCATCCAGCCTCCTGACCTGCCCCGTTTATGACCCGACAGGCGGCCCGGCAGACCGTGCAGCGCCGCCTGAGCCCGGCCCGTCGCCGGCCCGGCCGCTGGATCAGGCGCCCGTGGTCCGTCTCGGGGTCGAGCCTGAGACCGTGGCCGGCATCGGCGTGGCCGCCTTCCTCCTCGGCGTCACGCTCATGGGCGGCGTCTGGCTCATACACTCGAAAATCGGTAGGTGTCGCTGTGTGTGCCCCTGCGGCGTTCGATGGATTATGGAGACAAGTGGGTGGCATTGGGTTGAATTGAATTTGAACTTTGAATGGACTGGTTTGGTGTGTTGCGTTGTTTCTTCTGATGCTGCCTTTTTGAAATGGGGCTGCAGTTTTCTTTTACCTGCCAAAGATATTGGTGAAGTGCGCCGCGGACGATTTTGATGCAGTGTGGAGATTGCGGCTATCTACGGCTGGCAGTGAGTGCATTGTTGGTGTGCGTTTCGTGCAACTTCTTGTGCGCTCACGACCAGCCCGTGCCTCGGTGTGACGTCATCGCGTGTGTGTTGCAGGGCCTTCGAAGCGGCACCAGTTCCAGGCAGTTCCACAGAACCCCACCCTGGAGGTGGCCGGCCAGTCGGCCAACTCGACACCCAGCTCGCAGACACCAATCATCGTCTGACACATTACCCACGGTCTCGCTTCGGCCAATCGCCGGCAGCCTCCAACGGACGACATGCGGCTGACGGCCAATCACCATCGTCAGCTCCACCTAGGAGCTGACCCCGGCCAATCAGCCGAGGCCGGAGCGCTACCGTGAAGGGTGTGGGCCGGAGCGGCCGCCGGCCACGAACTACCAGTAGGTACTTCCTAGATCGGAAGACATTAATTTGTGCAGTACAAATGTTATTACCTCAAACATTTTAGTTTGTTCCTATCAGTTTTCAGCCATTCACAGTCATACGGTGTCCTGCGCAGTAGTGGCGCACGCGATGGGCCGCGGCGGGCGGGTCACGTGACCTGTTGCGCTCATGGGCCCTGGTCTGTACCTGCGCCGCTTTATCTGGTGAGGCCTGTTGTGGAAGCATGCCATCGGTCTGATGTGGCGCCGGCTGAGCGTCTGCCGTGTACTTACTGTGCTGACGCGCGTCCTAGTGTGCTTCCTCTGGAGGGAGGGACGGAAATGCGGAATTTGCGATTTTTAGAGGGGTTGAGGTACCTGCGTTGCTGACAGAAAAGGCGTTGTGGAGACACTTCCGGGATGTCTCCTCCGTTGGCCTTTGTTGTGGAACTGTGGAGCTCGGGGTGAGAGAAACTTCGTGGAGGAACTTGGTGACAGGTGCACTTGATTTTGGGGTATCTGCCGCTTTGCTTTAACAGTGGCCTAATATGATCTGTTGTGCCCAGATTAGTTTGGTGCATGAAAAGTATTCGCCTGTATTAGAATGTCCTATGCACTCGTTTCTTTTTGGCTATGCTCTCTCTCTCCCTCTCTCTCTTGCGGCGCCAGTGTCTGACGAGTGGGTAGGTGTCTCCGTTTTGTGGAGGCCGGCGCCCAGCGAGCGTTGTTCCTGCCGTGGTGGGCCACAGTTCTGCTCTGAGCTGTCATCACACTGATATCCATACGGGTGGAGACTGGACTTTGCTCCTGCCGGTCGGCAGATGGATCCAGGCGTGGCGGAAGGTGTTTGTTGTGGTTTGTATGCTGTTTTGACGTCGCCGAACGTCCTTGTATGGCCCGCCTCGCATGGGCATTTCGTGGATGCTGGTTTATGATTGTGTTATCGCCGAACATGGTTCCGATGAATATGTTTCGCGAGTGCATGCTGTTCTATTGTTCCACGGAATCTGTGAAAGCTTTAGCGCTATATCTCCATACATCCAAAGAGTCCTGTATTTATAAAAGCCAAAATGGCATGGAGGCCATGCAGCTCGCAGAAATCAATTTAGGCCGCTACATGTCAATAATGTGCGAACAGTTTGATGGTGCTGTCTTAATTAAACACGTTAATTGTGGTCGTACCATTACCTCGTGTAGCCCTGCTCGCATTTCCTTTGCATTTGAATGACTGCTGCGCAATCGCGCATGGTAATGCTGGTCCCACTCTCAATCAATCCATACTTAAATTTAAGCCGACAAAACAGTTGCGCCTGCGTAAGCCGGCACCAGCTGGCCGCTGTGCGTCGGCGGCACCAGCGGGATGTTGCCTGTCGGTGACGCCAGCTGGCTGCTGCCTGTCGGTGACGCCAACTGACTGCTGGTTTTCGGCGGCACCAGCTGGTCACTGCCGGTCGGCGGCACCAGGTGGCCGCTGCCTGTCGGCGGCGCTAGCTGGATGCTGCCTGTCGGCGGCACCAGCTGGCCGCTGCCGGTCGGCGGCACCAGCTGACTGCTGATTTTCGGCGGCACCAGCTGGCCGCTGCCGGTCAGCGGCACCAGGTGGCCGCTGCCTGTCGGCGGCGCCACCTGGCTGCTGCCGGTCGGCGGCACCAGCTGGCAGCTGCCTGTTGGCGCAGGCCAGGCTCGCGCGCCGGTCTGACCACTCTCAATTTGAGGCGTCGCGCGGAGCCTGCTGAGGGCCCTCCGGACATGTCCAGGTACAAAAACAGTTGGTCCTACTGCCTACCTCCTGAGTAGAGACAGGTGGCGTCACGCGCGTCATCCACCAGATGGTGTTGCCGCAGGCGCGCGGCGCGAGCGGTGCGGTCGGCTGCTGACAGCGCGGCGTAGCATAGTAATACGCAGGCCGCCTCGACGGTCGGTGGTCTTCGTGACGGGTGCCCAGTGAACATTGTGCGTGATGTGAGCGTTTTTTAATCATCAACATTGTTATGAAACGTTGCTAAGAGTTGAATACACATGTGTTATTATGATGTGACCGATGTGTGTTCCCTGACACGTACGCGAGTCGTGATGGCGAAGGTGCTCTGTGCCGCTTAGGTACGCACGTCACCGTAGCCCTGGTCCTGAAGATTCAGGTTCATACTCTGCGGAGAGCGTAGCGACGCCTCGGAAGGCCAAATGTGAGCCTCCGGTCGTGGCCGTCTGTCCTCGGGTCGGGTCGTTTCACCTGACCGAGGCGCCTGCCCGATGAGATTGCAGGGCCACCGTGCCTCGAGAGCGGTAAGGTACGCCGTTCCCGCCGGGGAGGCGAGGAATGGTGCCCGGAGGGACCGACGCAAGGCGCCAAAGACAGCGGTCCTCTGCGACGCGCGGCGTCGTCGCGCCCTAGCCTACCCGCAGCGAGCTCATGGAGCCTGTTCGATTTTTCATCGCCAAATCGTAGAGAGATGTGATAATGTGGGGCTAGTTTCTTGGAGTAAGGTGCGAGCTGCAGGGTGGTATGTGATTGGGCACGTCGGGCATGCGTTTATACGAGCTGAACTCGACTAATCCGCAGCTGGCTGGCTGTGAGGACAGCGTTGCTAACTTTCCCCACGTTCTCAGTGCTGCGGAACCGCAGACTTACACCTCTCGACTCCGAGTCAGTCCTGAACTCCAAACTCCGAATCCGATCTTATCCATCAAATCCAACCAGTCGATCAAATCCAAACTTAAACCACTGAACACGGTCTCCGGCACCAAAGTTTGCGGCCCGTGTTCTTTACATGGCATGTAGTGGGTCCATGGCCCAAGCTGCCCAGTTGTGGTTAGCTATCATCTATCCAATTATCCCCTAAGCTGTTTTCTAATTATCTAGTCACGGATCTTGATATCACTGAATATCATATCACTGAATTATACTAAAGACGTATGCAATAGCGCAAAACTATGTCATAGGCAATAAGCCGTATTAGTCGTGTAATTAAAAGCATACATCATGTAACCAAAACATAGAAAATACTCAAGTAAACATGGTACGAACACGAAACTTTTATAGTGTGATTAGCTCAGTGAACTGCACACAGCTGAGCATGACATCGGATTTTTCACTTTCTTTGCCACTTCTACCTGCGCGACAATATGTAGAAACCCACTTTAAGATTGATATAAGCTTGAACTTTCATTTCTAATGCCCTGTTTGTACTCCAGCCGCAGAAAGTTGGAGGGAGGGGCAAGCTCACCGTTGGTGGGGGGGGGGGGGGGGGGCAAACCGGACATGGGAGGCAGCGGCCTGAAATAAAGAAATACAGATCGACACCCGTGCACAAACGTATGCAAACCCGCAATGCAAAAGAGAAGAAGTCGGCATGCAGTTGAAGTGTAGGCGTCGTCTAGTTTCTTCAAATTACACGACGCTTTACGCAATAAATTGCGGCCACAGCTAACAATTTGTGGGTGAAGGCAAGACAACTTCTCCTCTCCCTTCTGACAAGAATAAATGTCGCAAAGCGAATTTTACAAAACGGTTTACCTACGTGGCTTCAGTGTAACGGCACTGGTACCATGTCACGCTGGAGCCTTCCTTGCCATGTTACACGGAGGCTGCCGGTGCGTAACTCTGTTGCCTGTGAAACAGCGAAGAAAAACACTCAAGGAACATCAAAAGCGGAGCTTCAGGCCCTTGGTCATGTTCTAAGTTTGGATAGGTTTACTCTTTCGGATGGGTCCAGCATGTGTCATGCTACTATTTGCTTGAGTGTTTTCCGACTAAAGGTCGGCCTTTGAAGCGTCACGGTTCGCATCAATGGACCAACATGAACCAGAATCATCGAGTTTCAGTGTGCAAATTGCTGCCCCAGGCCAAGAAATTTACAAATGTGCACCAAACACGGGGCACAAATCTATTGGATGTGAGCACGCTTCATATCGCTGTCATATCAGCACGAATTATACCGTGTTTCCACCGCGTCCGCAACTAAGAACCATTTTGTTTACTCGAAAAAACTTGCAGAAGTTGCGCGTGTTCGTGCGTTTCCATACTGATGTAGAGGAGCCCTTGCTTCGGCAAATGAATTGGGTTAAAGGCTCGAATAAAATAAAGCTAACTATTATCTTTTTGTTGTGATCCAGTCAGAAAAACGTGCACGTTTGTACGAAAGCGAATACCGCAGAACGGCGTTCAAAGGGTCCATACTTTCCGCTCCCATTGGCATGGATGCACGCAATTTCTAATTGCACTGTTTGTGGTAACCTTACCAAAAACCGTACGCCTTCTTATCTGTCCCGGCCCTTCCCAAAATAGGTGTCACTCGTGGTAGTGAAAACTCCAGGAGGATGGAAACTTTGGCTAAACTCGGAATGCCTATTTTGGGGGCTTTCAAAATTGGTAGAATTGAGACGAAAATGCTGGTTTTTTCTTCATTGCCATTCATTGTCTCATGATGTAAGATGCCAAATAAACATGAGGGTTATTTCGCAGCTCTCTGCGTCTTTGAGTCAGAGAACATTGCTTGCAAAGTCAGTGCTTCTAATTGATCATGATAATAGAGCACATTGGGAATGCCGGTAACTCATGCAAGATGAAATCACGTTAATGTGCGACAACCCGTTCCCGTTGTTATTTCATGAGCAAAAGATTATCAGCTTTACTCTGCTACGAATGCCATCCATGGCAACTTGAAGCGAAACGGACGCTTTCCTTCGCCGTCTCCTATGCATGTTCATCTCACGCGAAGCCTGTCGGTCACGGCTGCACTCTTGACCCACACCGGCCGGCCGTGACCTGCCGAAGCCGAGGCGGAACCGGCGTCGGTCGTCGCCATTGTGGCACCGTCCTGCACTCATGAGTCAGCCATCAGCGGCTATCAGCGCCATGAGACGGCCATTCCCATAGCGGCAGCGCAGGCCCAGAAAGAGAGCGACCAGCGGCAACGCACCGCGACCGAATAAAGTCGGTCCGAGCGCGCGTGCCCGGCCAGAATAGGGCGACGACCGAAGGAGGACACCCGCCTGGCCGCCGCAGCGGGGGAGAGGCAGCCGTCATGCAGGTGGGCGCGACGGACGGAGCGGAAAACGGAAGGGGCCAGTGGTGTCGTGCTCAATAAGCTCAAGATGTTGTCCAAACTGGCACCGGTTTGCATGTTGACGCTGACTGATCGAAATGTTGACCAAAAACTGATCGATTTCGTTCAGAGCCCAAAAGTTGGCGGGTTTCAAGAACGCTCAATAGTGGGTTACCCTGATGTTTTTTTTTAAATCAGTTTCTGGGAAACTAAGCATGCTTTCATATGTTTGTATGTGCTTAAATGGAAGATGGTCTTAAAATATGAAATGCAAGGATCGAGCTCACCAAAATCACAATTCATTCGAAAATGTTCCATCTCTATTGATTCTGAATTGGGGCGCCACACCCAGATTCGTGGTGTGTCTTGTTAAATCGCTTGCTTACAGCTTAACGTGAATTGTGGTTCTGGGAAGAGATAAATATGGTATTTAAATTTGCCTATTGAATGTTATTTTAAAAAGCCGCTTAAAGCAGCTTACAAAAACTATGCTAAGGTAGTCAATAGCTGGAACTTTATAGCATTGGTCTTGGTATTCCTTGACTAGCAGATGTAAGCCTATGTGTTTCAATTGACAAGATGCAAGGCACCCATTATCTGCAAACTGAGTGTGCCTTCTCAGGAAAAACTTCTAATCCGCTCGAAATAGGCAGGTCATGTGGATAAGGTACATATAGTCAAAACAAGTGAGTAGCAGACTGAGGGAATGAACATCGGTGCTCTGATTCACTATGCACCATCCAGCTTGGTTATTCTTATCCATTGTATAACAATGGTAACACTTCAACTCCATTCACAAAACCACTGAATGACACGCGGAGCGACGTCGGCACAGCACGAATAGATGATGCTAGTAATCGAATTGTTCTCACGCTGCAGACGTAAAACTGACGCTGCCAAAACTATCCTGCCGTGATTGTGTCAAATCAAATTTCGACAAATTGCGTACGGACACGACCTATACGTTGTGACCTCGAGGTGCGCTGCTCGCGGGCTTTCTAGTATACGTACATGTGCGGGTAAGCGTTGCTGGTGATCCTTCTTATCTTGCTGGGAGGGCTGTTCATTGAAATGTGTGGTAGAACTTAAAAATAAAGGTGTGGTAGAACTTGAAAATGAAATGCGTGGTAGAAGCCGAGTCTACTTTCAATGTTATACATCTTTTCAACACTCGGCTTTGAGATGACCTTGTTTTTGTCGTTATTTTTTTGCTGCTGCAGCCAGTAAGCTGCATCTTTTACTTTTTGGAAGTGGCATGACAAAATGTCATAAGCTGGTACAATATGGGTATATTATGGGTTATGTGCACTCTGGCACGTTGACATGTCATGTCTCATATACATATAATTGCCTGCGTAAGCATGGGCTGTTGGAAGCGTGTTTTCATTCCTGCTGTCAGTAATTATTTCATATTATAATACATCTTATAAATGTGCAGC